ACTTATCCTGCTATGGAATCTGACAGGGATGTGTGTGCGGTCCTGGAATGCGGCGGGATCAATGCTGATCCCACAGGGCATTGTCGCCGGCCAGGAATCCCGTCGCTGGGGCAGCCGGGTCCCCGTCGCTATGGCAGCCGGGTCCCCGTCGCTGGGGCAGCCGAGTCCCCGTCGCTATGACAGCCGAGTCCCCGCCGCTATGGCAGCCGAGTCCTCGTCGCTATGGCAGCAGAGCCCCCGTCGCTTACGGCAGCCGAGTCCCCGTCGCTATGGCAGCCGAGTCTCCGTCTCTGGGGCAGCCGAGTCTCCGTCGCTATGGCAGCCGAGTCCCCGCCGCTATGGCAGCCGAGCCTCCGTCGCTATGGCAGCCGAGTCTCCGTCTCTGGGGCAGCCGAGCCTCCGTCGCTATGGCAGCCGAGTCGCCGTCGCTATGGCAGCCGAGTCCCCGTCGCTATGGCAGCCGAGTCGCCGTTGTCCGGCGCTTCCGTAGGCTTCGGCTGGCAGATGACACCGCTGGCGGCAGTCGGCCGCGGAGGCGGTCACGCCCATCCGGCACGTAGGTGCACATATGCGCGGAAATAAAGTGCGTATCGATGTGGATGGTTACAGTCTATTCTGCGCTTCGTGGGGTCGCGTAGTGTGAATGTCGTTGTTGCAATCGTTCGCTGCGTTTGATCATTGGGGACGAGCGCCATGCAGAACATCCTTGGTCACGAGGACTGGTATCGGTCATGGCACACTCCTGTAGCTTTTGGAAAGGCTCAGGTGCAAGTGACCTGACGGAGGGGGGTGGGGGGGGGGGGTGTGCTGTGCAGCGTTCTTCAGCGCACCGGTCGGGACGCCGTTTCGTCGCCACCATAGGGGCTTTACGACGTTTTCAGGTGCTGAGGCCATGTGGCGTCGCCTGCCTCTCACCCTGGCAGGATGGGTGAATACCACAGGAAATCGAACTTCCGTACCTCTGATTTCTCATACGCGCAGCTGAACCGCCATTTTATCGGTACCGTAGTTGGTGCGCCGCGATGTTGCCGCGGCGGGTCCCCCGAAAGCGGCTGGTGCGGTCGGAGGTGGTGCTGTGTGGTGCCCCCTCCCCCCCCCCCCGTAGCGCGTGTCCCTTGACCCCGCCTGTGGTTCCTGAGGGTGTGCCCTCTCGCCCTAGTCAAGGTCTGAAAGCAGATGGAATACCTTGGACGATCATGCTCGTCTGGCTCGCTAGAGCGTACACGGTGCACATGCTCGCACAGCAGACCGAGGCGACAGTCGGCCAAACAGCCATTTAATTCGTAATTCCAGTGCTTCATCTCAGTCATTCCGCAAAACTGGTCAAAAGCCTGCTGACCTTGTGATCCACCTCCCCGCTTGTCACGCCACAAATTTTTGTCGTTTAAGAATTAATCGACCAGTTTATCACTTGGCCAGACATGGTAGCATTACGGCGCGCCGGTGTTAGACACTTTGTACGCTGCGTTGTCCGGCGCACATGTACGTGTTCCCGCTACCGTCGATTACCGAAGGCGTTCGTTCCACATGCTACCGGATTCCGAACGGTGCCTCCTTCCCTGAATACCCGCCGTTTATCATGTGGGTGGCTTCTCGCGTTTCAGAAGAAGAATGGTTCACTGCCGTTCATTTGTCACGGGGCCAAGCGGGGGCACACTTTAGGGAGCGTCTGTGCTGACCGGCGACCGTCGGAGCGGCGCAAGTTATGCGCCCAGTGCACTGTAATCAGTTCCCCTTGTGTTCTGGCTGTCGTCTCCTGCATGCCAGCGGAGATATCCCGTACTCTGGAGCTTAGCGCCGGCTCCGAACTGAGGTCCGTTTGGACGGGTTGTCTCTTTGAGTGTGCGCTCGGTCAGTGCGAGACCGACTTCGGGGTAGGTCTCTGTGTGCAGACCTATCCGGGGTCATCGCGGCGGTGCGCCGCCTGGTGATCGGCGGAATACCCAGGTGGCGGCATCGTGCTTCAGGGATAATCAGGGTTCAGGTAGGCTCAGGTGGTAGCATCAGAGATGTGGTCAAATGGAAGTGATTGGCATGAATCTAAGGCATGACCCTGAGATGCAGCTTCTGGTCACTTCCGGCCACGTGACGTGAGGGACGGGTGTGTCCTGTAGCCGAGAAACCTGCTGCCCACACTCAAGTACACCTTTTCTTTTGACATTCCGATGCCATGGTGCCTAAATGACACCCTGTCGCATCACAGGTGAGGGAAGGAGGGGCGTAATTCCTGGTGGGGCGCAGATGTGGATATTTTTACCGATGGCTGTAGGCCTGTAATGACTTATTGATGGCCGTCACAGCTGGAGAGTCGGGCCGCCTGCCATTACCGACTCAGACCTCTCGGCCACCTCTCCACGCTTGTCTGACTGTGACCGGCCGCAATTTGTACAGAAACCCACCCGATTCCCGCCCGGCGAATGGCGCCCAATCCCCGGACGCCCCGACCCGAGCACCACCGGCAGGGGAGGGCCGGCACCACACCACCACCGGCGGGGAAGGGCATTCTACGCCGGGGGTCTCGCACGGAAAACGCGGCATATTTTGTTGGGCGTCCGCGGCCCGGCGGTAATGGCACGCCGCTGAATGGCTGATGAGGCCCGCGAGGAGGCATTCGTCAGGCGACGACACGCCGCGCCGTCTGACATTGAGATCGGCTCGCCAATGTATGCGGCGGACACCGCCGCCGGCAGCGGCGGCGGCGGCGGCCGCGGCGGCCGCGGCGGCCGCGGCCCGAGCGTTGTGAGGACTCGGGTGTCGGCTGCGGCGCCGCGGACGGCGGCAGCGGCGACTATCGCTGACTAGGCCCCGTCCTGTCGGCCGGCGCACGAGACGAGGTCGCGCGCCCGCGGCTTCGCCCCGAGAGAAACAAACAGCGGCGCTGGCAGGCGGCTGGCGGCAGGCGGACAGGTCAGCGGGCGGCGCACGTGACCGGAATCAGAAGGCGACGCGGCGCTGCCCAAACTCGGCCCGGCCGGCCGTGGACCGGCCGCGGCGCGACCCACGTGGTCCGCGCTGAGGGCTCGCTCCTCACCGCGCGAGGTCCAGATCGAAACAAATTCACGGCATCCTCAAGGGCTTCTGTGACTTGATGGTCGACTCCGACTAATGAGAGATTCACGTGGAGCGCCATCGCTGACTTTCCCAAGGTTTGTGCACGAGATCAGCTTGGACTCAGCGCGTGGCCCTGCTGGCCGTCTGTCACAGTCAGTCCCGCGAACTGGCCCTGTCCCTCCCCGGGTTCGCTCGAAGGATCGACATGGGCTCCTGCGACCGTCGCGAGGGTCGGGCGGACCGGCGCCCAGTCCCCCGTGGCGCCCGGCTCCCCAGCTGGGCCCGTGGCAGGTAAAGGGCCGCTCGGGGCCGCACAGGGGCCGCTGGGGCGGGGCCGGGCTGACAGCGTGACTGATGGCGCTGGCCTCTGGGAGGTGCACGTGCCGCCCGCCGGGCACGGCGCCCCGGCTGGCCGGCGGCCGACCCAGCGGTGTCGCTGCCTCTGCCGCCGCCGGGTGACGAGAGCCAGCCGGCGCCGGCGCCGCCGCCTGTGCCATGTCACGTGACGCTGTTTACTGTCATTAAGCTGGCGAGAAACGGGCTGGTTCGCGTAAGCGCCGCCGCGGCTGGTGGTGTGTTTTGGCGCTGCCGCGGCGCGGCTCCGGCTCCGGCTCCGGCTCCGGCTCCGGCTCCGGCACCCGTCACACGGCGCGTCAGGCGCCGAGCGAGGCATTCTCGCATGTTTACGAGATTCCGGCCGGCGGGGCGCAGCCTTTCAGCTGCATCGCGGCGGAAGTCCAGCTATTTTATTTTGATGGGGACCGCTGATCGCGCGGCTTATGATGATGCGCGCGAGTCGTTGGCGGGTTATTTTGATGCGCCGCTGCCGAGTGGCGCGGCCGGCCGCGGACCAGCTCGGAGGCCGGCCGGTCGGCGGTCGCCGCTCGCTTACCGGCCGCTTAGCGGCGGTCAGTTTATCCACTCCCCGAAGCCATTTGACCCCCGAGCGTCCTACGCGCCGCGTGCCCGCGCGCGCCCGAGCTCACTTTCTACCGTGTCCTCGTACGACGCGCAGCGCGTAGTGGTTTTCACTACTAGTATCCTGTCGGCGTCGAAACGCCGAAAAAGCGAGAGAGAAAGTGCGGCGGCGTCGAGAGCCCGCCGGCCGTTTGGGCGGGCCTCTGCCGGCAGACGGGCCGTGCCGGCCGAGTTTCACTTTTCGAGCGCCGCTTGTTCCCCGACCTGCCGGCGGCCGGGCCCGACAGCGAGCCGATCCGCCGGTCCGCGCCTCCCGTCCCGTCGGCGCCTCAGGAGCGGGCCGGCACGACCGCCGCCGTCGCCGACGCTGCAACATTCCCGGCCTGTTACACAACCGGCGGAACGACCTTCTGTGCCGGCCGGCCCGACCGCCCATGGCACGCGGCGGCGGCCCGGGTCGGGCCGGGCCAGTGGCCTCCGAGGCCGACCTGGTGCGCGGCCGCGGGTCTGGAACGGCTTAGCGGAGTTGGGGAATCCACACGCGGGCGTCGGCCGCGTGTGGATTCTGGTTTCTGGGCGGCCGTCGGCCGGAGTCGGAGGCCCTCGATGCCAGGCATGCGCCCAAGCTCGTCAGGGCTGCTGACAATCGGAGGTCAGGCTCTGTTTTCCTTCAGCGACACGCCGAAGGGGCATACACTAATTAATTTCCGACCTGGACCGTCCGGGACGGAGCGGGAGATGCTCCATCATCGGGCGCTCGTATCGGGATGGCCGAGAATTTCCGACGTCCGCCGGCCTGACGCCGCCCTATCTCCGGCCCGACTTACACGAGGGCCCGTCGCCGCCGGGCAAACTCACTTTCGAATAGATGAGATTCAGAAATATTAAAATTCATCGCGGCGCTGGCTGGCTGGTTGGCCGGCCGGTGGTCTGCCCGCTAGCGCGCGAGGCGGGCGCGGCGAGTCTAGGCGCTCGGCGGCGCGGGCGCCGCCTGTCGGCCGCCACCTCGCGGCAGTACCGTGGCTCGTCTGCGCGCGGAGGCAGTGCCGGCGTCCGACGGTGGCGGTGTTGAGACGGGAGGCCGCCGCGCTCGTGCTGGACGTCCGTGTGCGGTGACGGACGGATCGAGCGCGGCTCAGTGGTGCAGAGCAGCTCGGCGACCGGCGCGGCCCGCGAGCCGCGCGCGGTGGTGCAGGGCAGGCGTGCGGCGTTGCGCAAAGCCTGGAACAGGTGCGCCGCAATGGATCGTCCTAACTGGCCAGGTATGTGGGTAAGCCGGCGTCGGCATTGCGCTACTGTGGGGATTGGTGACGGCCGGTGGATGGCTCTGTCTGGCCAGGGCAGGCCGCTGACCAGGGCCGTTCAGGAGCGCGACTGAGTCGCCATCGACGCCATCGCACGCCATCGACGTCTCGGCCACGTCGCGGCCGACGGGATCGCAGCACGCCAGCGTCTCCGTCCGCTCCGAGGCGGCGTGCTGTCCCCGGGGTGGCGTCATGCCGTTAACGTCGGTGGGCGGCGGCCCGTTAGCCGCCCGTGTATCGATGTCGCCGCGCGTCCGCGTCGCTCATAGCACGGCGGCGGCGGGACGGAGCAGCGACCGGTGACCAACGGCCGTCGCTGCCGCCGCCGCCGCTGCTGGGCCTCGTTGACCCTGGGGCACCGACCGCGGTCGTCGGTCGTCCCCGGGCGCCGGGATCGCAGCTGCGGACCGAGTGCTCACGACCCGGGCCGGCCTGGGGTGCCCGCACCTGGTGGCCGGCGCCGAGCTCCAGCGCCAGTGATTGGCACTGCTCGCTGCTGGCGCGGCGGCAGCGGGACCCGGGCGGAAGCGGCACCGGCGCCCGGCGGACGGCTCCGGTGTCGCTGCGCCTCGTTAGTGGCGCCCTCCCCGCTTGTGTGTGTGTGTACAGCGCAAACTGCGCCGCTCGACACACTTCCTCTTCCAATGCGGCGCGTCGCGGAGGGGCGCGCGGCGCACACGCGCCGCCAAGGCTGCGCCACCTGGCCGGCCGGAGGGAGACAAATCAAGGCTGCTCCCCCCCCCCCCCTCCAGCACTTCACGTCCACCTGGCCCGCCTGACACAGGGAGGGGGGCATCGGGTGGGGGGTCGACCCCAGCTCGGGCCACGCCGCGCCAAGGTCGACGCTGTCCGCTCCGCGCGCCGTAGCGGCCGGGCCTGGCCAGGTCGGGTCGCTGCCGCGGCGGGGCGCGGCTCCAGGGCGGTCGTACTGTCGGCGCCGGGCCAGCCGACCGCAGCGTCTCTGCTACGAGACCCGGAGCCGCTGGAACTCCCGCGCAATCGCTGCCTGTGAACCTGGAAGCCTCCAGCCACGGCCGCGGGCCTGCGTTATCCAGCACCTGCAGCTGCACTTGATGCCAAGTTCTGGCGCTGGGAGAGCTGCCAGGCCAGGCAGACGGGTTCGGCAGCCGCTGGGCTCCGTGAGGCGGTCGGCCACCGGGCAGCCGGCATACCGGCGTCCAGTTTCACCCGGCAACGCGCTGCCGCCGGCGTGCGCCAAGTACGACTCAAACGGGTCACAACGGTGCATGCGGGGCCATCGCCGTGATGTTGCCGTCCGAACGACCGCTGGCCTGCCGCTACCGTCATTACACGCCTGTCGCAACCATGCCGGCGCGGCGCCGTTATGCAAACCCGGTTCCCACCGTCAGCCGGAACGTGGCTCCCAGCTGAGTTGCCCAATGACCCAGCCGCATGTATCACGCTGAAATGTGTCGCGTGCGCCTGGAGGGCGCTCGAATTTCAGCCGAACGTCTGTACCGCCGTAGACCCGGGGATCCGGCCGTCTCGTGGGCTTCGGTAAAGGCGAGCGTAGCTGCGGCTGCCTTGACCCGTCCCTCCATCGGCAGCCGTAACCCAAGGTAGGCGCGCACGCGCGCTGAATTCCCGTGCAGCGCTGACGTCGGCCATTGGCCAATTACAGGCTAATGACGGCGGCCATGCGCGCGGCAACGTAGGCCCCGATCGACGGGGTGTCTGGTCACATGGCACGCGGCAGCAGCCGCCAGACGGCCGCCTCGGACAGCGCTGTCACGTCCGGCGCGGCTTGTGCAACGCGCCGCTCGCTTGCAACACAAGAATACAATTACGCGCTGAATTAATTTGGCGGCGGCGATCTGTCGATAGCGTCGGCCGGTGTTCGACAGCAAAAACGCCGCCGCAGCCGGGGCCCGGCAACGGCCCGTGCGCGGCTCCGCGCGGGCGGTGGCCGGGAGGGGGCCGGCGGGCGGGCGGCCGGCCGGCCTGATTGCTTCCGTGGGCAGGCGGCGGCGCGCCCGCCACCCTCTCACGTGTCATTACCGCGGCTCGGACGCTGTTGACCTCCGCCCGGCGCGGCCGGCGGCGGCGGCGACAACACAACACTCGGCGCACCGAGCCTCTGGTCGGCGACGCCCCTCGCGCCGGCCGCCGGTCCGCACGGCCGGCCGTGTCCGGGTGCCGGCGAGCCCGACCGATCGGCCGTCTCATCTTGACCTGGTTAGAGGAGCATCAAGGCTGCAGTTGACGGCGCTGAGGCCTCGGCGCGGTTCAGAGTTCAGCCCGGCACTGGGAGGCTGCGGACGCGAGCTGGGATAATCGTGCTGCCGTGACCCGGCCCGACCTCTCGGCCGGCGATGTGCCACCGGAGCTCCCGGGCCGGCTGGGACCAGTCGGCCTTCCGCCCTCCGCGGCCGCTCGACCCATCCGCCGGCCTCAGGGCCTCAGGGTCTGCACCGTGCGTGCCGCTCCTCTTCCCACCGCATGCTCGGTTTTCGTCGCGCCGGCTCGCACCTGCCCGCACGCTCGCCAGGGCCGGTTCTCGCCGACAGAGACGAACTGCAGTCGTGCCGCGCGCGCCGCGAGAGCACTGCTGACGGCCACTATGTCGACTGCTCATCGCAGAGATCGCTGGTGCATTTCATCGGTCGTGTCCGGCTCTCGGCACATGCCAAATGGCCCGTCTGGGCGGCACCGGGGCGGCTGAGAACGCGCCGAGCGGCGGCTGCATGCGGCCAGCGCCATGCCGGGCTGCGTTAGGCGTTTTTGTCGGACGGCTCCGCTTTCCTACAGTCTCGTATGGACTGCGAGGCTGCTGAAGCTGGCCATTGTCGCGCATGTAGCAAGCCTGAGGTCGTCATTATCATACCGCTGGTATTGTCAGTTGCCACTTCACATGGGCGTAGCACAGCTCTTCTCTCCCCGAGTACCAAAATGTCCGAAATGTCGCAAGCTCGGTTTGGCTCCGTTTGGGTGTCGTCTACCGAACAGAGCCTGCTGATTCTTAAGGCGTAATATTGCTCCGCATGGTTATCGTCACGCCAATACCCACTTATGTGTTCATCGATGCTCTCATCTCCCTCTCTTATCTCATTCCTTATCTCACGAGTTCAGTTGCATGACTCATTAAGGCGTTACAGCAGGTGGCTGACTCGCCACTGGGCCAGCGGGCGTCATCAGAGCGACCGGGACACCTGGGCCTCAGCGGCATCCCTGGTGTCCGGTGAGGCAGGTCACGGACTCGCCAGCGGGGCGGCGAGTGTCCTCAGCGGGACCGGGACACCGCTCCGGTGCAGGTGACCCTCCTTGTCCAGTGAGGCAGGTCACTGACTCGCCAGCGGGGCGGCGGGTGCCGACGGTCGCGCCGCCCGCCGAGCGGCCGAACGCTGGCCGCTGGCCGCCATTAGGACCGTGTTAATCCGTTGCCTCCGTCCATTAGGTGGCGGCCGCGGCGCGCCACCGGTCAGCGCCGCCCCTGCGACGCCTCGACAGAACATAATCAAATCGGGGCCACCCAGCGCATATTATAACGGTCGGCGCCGTCCCCTAATAACACGGCGGGCGATTTTATGGCGCCAAATACAGATGAGGCGCACCCTCACGGACTGAGCCGTTATGCCTCTGACTGGGGATTCCAGCGGGAGGAGGCGCGCCCGCTGGCCGACGTCGCCGCTAGGCCGGCGCGCGCGCACGGGCGCCGCAGCAGGACGGAGCGCGGCCGGCCCTGTGCAAGGCTGCAGCGGCTGCAGCGGCGCGGCGGCACCCAGCTGGCCTTCAGCTGGTCCGTGCGGCTGACCGAGTGGAGCTCGCTCCTCGGCACCCGATCCGGCTATTGGCCGCCGAGCGGTGTCCAGTTCAGGCGGCGCCACGCAGCCCGGCGGTGCTGGGCGGCGGCCGCGTGCCGCTCCGGGCGCTCCCGCACGCACGGCCACCCGAAAGCCAACATGTGTACACGCGCGTTTCCGCGTCGATGGTCCTGGAGAGAGGCGACGGCGGCGGCGGCGGCGGCGGCGGCGGTGGCGCGGGGGCAGTGTCTCCGGCCGGCCGGCTCGACGCGGCTGGCCAGGTCACGGGAACAGTTAGACGGCGCGCGCCGACCGACTGCCGCGCGGCGGCTGGCAGCGCGCCACCGCCGCGCCTTGGCGGCCGGCCCGCGGCGCGCCGCCAGCCGCCGAGACCGGGCCGGGCCGGCCGGGTTTAAACAGGCCTGTAAGGCGATGTCGATCTGCCCATGCGGCCGGCACCTGGCCGGTCGGAGCGGGGCGGGGCGGGGCGGGGCGGGGCGGGTAGCGGAGGTCACTCCGCGCCGGAGAAGCATCGGTGACAGGCTCGGGCGGCCATCGGAATCAGAATGGCAGTGGCCGCCAGGGCTACCTGCAGTGGTGCAAATTGTCAAATTGGCGGACTCTGAGAGCACTTGGCGAGGGAGACGTTTCACGATTAGTGATAGCATTGCACAAAGCTGGTGATATTCGAAAGAGGTTAATCTATTATAATAATACTGTCCCAAAAATGCAAAAGCAGGCAGGAAACATCGTCACCTCATGTTGATAAATATTATAATAGTACTGTACCAAAAAAGAAAAAGTAGGCAGGAAACATCGTCACTTCATGTTGATAGGTATTCTGTGATCCTGGCAGTTTTCACTTTTTGCTTTCATTGTATGTCTTGTTTTGGTGGCTTTGGCTTAAGAGCTCATGATTAGCGGTGCTCGCTACTTGAACCCTGAACCTTTTAACCAGTAGAGAAACTCAAGCCCCACGGACCAGTGTGTATCCGGTTTTTGCACCAGACAAGATCGTCGAGGGCCTTTTTCCCTGCTGAAGTTGCCCCCGCAGTAATTGATTTTAGTACAGTCCCGGCGTGCAGGCAAACACAGTTGAAGTTTTTAACATCTGCAATGTGTGCTTACACGGACAGATAATTTTGCAGAAATAATCGAGTGGAAACGATGATTCTTCAGCTTCTGGTCAGCTTGGCGATAGAGCTGACGATGTAATGTGCGATCCTGGCGACGCGGGCCGTCGAGACCTGGCCGCCCGCGTGGCCGCTCCCATCGTCGGCGACTACAGCCGGCGCGAGAAAGCTAACACCGCGGTGTTGGTGTGCCGTCGCCGGTTGCGGTCGCCGAGGCCGTGCCGGCGCCAATTCGGCGTGTCGCGCCGCCCGCCGGGCCATCGGACCCGATCCACCGGCCGGCCGACAGCCCCGGCGGCGGCGTTCTCCTCCAGCGCCGGTTCCGTTCCAACTGTGACGTTAATGAATTCTAATGGTGCGTCCTGTCCGTTCCAGGTGCAGCGCCTGGCCCAGTATGAACGCTACTTCCAGGACCTGCTGTCGGAGACTGCCGCCGATCATCCTGATGTCGACGACCTTACCCGGGTCAGAGGAAAGGTCAAGCAGGTGAGACTCGGCCGTCGGCATCCGGCCTCAGCCATGAGCAAACACGCCCTTTCCCTGATTTGAATGCGCGGCCGGCCGGCGGCACGCTTTACGAGTGGGGTGGCCGGCGGGTGACCGCGCCGAGGTCGCCTGGCGCCACCGAGCCGGAGCTGCGGCGGCCGCAGCAGCCGCCGGAAGCGCGACCGACGCGCCAGGAATTTATGACCGGTATCGCCGGGCTGGCCAAGGTGACATTGACCAGCCGCCGCGGGCGCTGGCAACGCAGCCAGCTGCTGCCGCGCGTCTGCCGGCGAGCGCGTTCTTAAGGAATCGATTTTAGGTCTTTGCGGTCATATTCGTCGATTCGAGTCACTTAAGCAACCGTTTTACTCGTCAGCTAGCGGCGGTCCTTGTGCTGTCATTCACATCCCAATGCATGTTTTTAAGTTATCTGCAGTCAAGTCAGCAGTTGCCTTCCAATGGCCTTATCCTCACCAATCTTTTATAGGACTATCCAGTCCTTGCTAACAAGTAACGGCCATTGTCCATTCGTCCGTGTTTTTTTTTTTACCAAGTTTTCCTAGTTGGTGTGCAAATTAAATTGTCTGCACTCGTCAGTGGTTGGAGGTCGTCGGCAGTCGTCCGTGCCCCCCCCCCCCTCGTGTGGTCCAGCGGTCAGCTCCCAGCGTCGACTGCGGCCGCGGTCGGCGGCGCCGGGCCTGGCGCGGCGCTGCCCTGGCCGCCGGCCGCCGGCCGCCGGTCGACCTCAATCACGGCCGGCCGACGCTGCGGCAGCCGGCCGGCGCCGCACGGCTGCCGCGACACCGCGGGTCACCAGGGGACGGCACGGGGCGGGACCTGCTGGGAGGGGTCACGCAGCCAGACGCGCCGGCCAGCTGCCTGGCTTGCATCAGCGGGCGAGTGGTATTGCATCAGCAGCGCGGTTTGATCAGGCGCCGCCGGCGGAGCGCGGAGAGCGAGTTGACGGGGCTACGTCGGGGAACTGTCTGCCGCCGTGACGGGTGGCTCCGGTCAAGGCCGTTCTGGTCGGCGGCCTCCGCGCACCGCGACGCCGCAGTCGCCCGCTAATTGGCTGCCCGCTGCCGTTGGGTGCCGGGCGATGGCACCTGACTGTGGTTGAGCTGCGGCCGTGCCGCGCCGCCTGTCGCTGCGCTCGCCGCTGCGCTCGCCGCTGCTCGCGATCCGACCCCTTCCTGCCGCCGCGCCGCCGCCTCACCGCGCGCCGCTTCCCCGAGCCGTGTCGCGACCTGCCCGCAGTCCGCGCCCGGTGGGGAGGAGGCGCTGAGGAGGCGTGTCCGGCCTCCGGGCCGTCTCGGCCGCTGACCGGAGCCGGGTCACGCTCACGTGGCCGGGCGCCGGTCACCCCGGCCGTCGTGAAAGTGGCCACGCCGCCGTCGCCGGCCGACGCGGCCAGCCGCGCCGGCGGGCCGTCACGGCGGCTGCGTGCGGGCCGGCGCGCGTGCGAGCGCCACCGAGGTCTCTCAGTGGCGAGCGGGCGGCGCGCGCCGCAGGACGCCGGCCACCGCGGCGCCATGGCCCGGGGCTAGGCACGTCCGCCGGCCGCACGCATGGGCGACGGCTGGTGTGACGCGGTGTCGGGCTACCTCCGTCACTGCGCCTCGTCGATCTGGTCCGCGGTGAGTGGGTGCTGGGGAGGCAGTCCTCCGGTGGCGAGGCAGGGCAGGGGTCCTCCAGCTACCGGTGAACGCAGTTTCCATTCACGCAGTTACGCGGTTACCGGTGAACGCGTCCGGTAAATCCTCCCCCCCCCCCCCCCGCCGGGTTCGTGACCATCTTGCTGCTTATGTGACTTGTACGCCTATGCCGCCACTGCGTACCACCTTTATGCCCGCCAAACTGCTACTGTCGCGCTTATGGGCATAAGGCATACGGATGGTGAAGCAATCTTATGCCTGTCGTCAGATGGCGTAGGAATCGCTCTCGCCGGTGATGGCGCGCTCGGTACATTCCGAGGCTCCGCAGCATTTGCACGCGATGGTTTTTTGCCGAGGCAGTTTTAAGAACGCGTGATTCAGGCGATTGGCTGTTTGCGTCAGTGACGAGTGCCATTCAGCCGAGTGCGCATGCGTGGTGCTGCACGGCTAGCGTTCGTGAAATCCTTCGTTCTGGAATGTATCACCATTTCTCCCGTAGCTTCATTGCATGTGGCGCGCGTTGACACGTCTGCCTGACTATATGTAGCCTCTTGTCAGGATTTCCACGAACAGTGCAGGCCTGGGCGACTGCAGTTGGTTGACTATTGAAGCTGGTTCATGTACTTCATTACCATCGAAGTGCAATGCTCTGTTACAGGTGGCATAGACCATAATACCCAGTGTCACGTTCCAGGTGTCTGGTGTTAAAGGCATGACTGTGCAGGACATCGGGTCCTCGGAGCGTGTTTAATCGGCGGTTTATGCATGTACCCTCGTTGCAAAGCTGCGGGCTCATTCATTCTCAATCGCAGGCATTTTTAGCGACACGGCAATGAAATGCACTCCTCCGCCGCGGAGACGGTGGGCGCCTCACTTGTTTACCTTGAAGCCGCGCCATTCGGCGAATCAATCAGGTGCGGATGCTGTAAGGCTCAGATCTCCACCGGTGAGGCCGCGCGAGCCGCCCGTGTGGCGCTTCGTGAGTCAGTGGCGGCGGACTTATACGGTTCCCCGGGAACCCGATGACGTAGGAGGCTGCCGAGGCGGACCGGACGCGGGAAGGAGCTGGCGAATGGAGCTGGCACGCCAGTGGCTCAGAAGGCGGCCGCGGCCGAGCCGGCAGCTGTGTGACCGGGTGCGCTTGTGGGGGAGTGCCCGCGGACCTGCGACCTAGCGTGACCCGAGTGCGATGCGGCCGGCTCAACGCAGCCAGTGATGGCCATCTTCTACTTGCAGCTGGTGTCGACGCCCGGTGGCGACCTGTCGGAACTAGACCGCATCCAAGACCTCTTCCCCAGCGACAACCTGGGCCTCCACTGCAAGGACCCGTTGCATCCGGTGAGTACGGCGGCCGGCTGCTGGCTGCGCCCCGCGGCGTCCGCGTGTCCCTGGGGCCGATTCGACCAGCGCCGACGATGGCCGCTCACCGCGGCCGGGTTGTGTAACCGGCTGGGCGTGTCCTCGACCCGGCCGGTGCGTGGCCGCGCGGCGGGGGCGGCCGCTGCCCGCCGCAGCTCGGCGGCGCGCCGCCCCGTCAACAAATTCGTCGCATTGTTTTGACAGACGCGCGTAAAAAGCACACCGTCCGCGGCCACAAAGGGCGCCGGTAACCGAGCGAGCCGGGCGCGATCTGGAGCGCGCCGCCGTGCCGGCCGGCCTTGAGCGCGCGCCCCGGTGCGTGAATGCATTAGCCGCCGATCCGTCGCTCAAGTGGGGCCCCTGGTCCGCGGTGTCGGTCACCTGGTACGCCGATCGGTGGCGGGCCCCGCCGTTGCTGGCCCCTCAAACGAACGGGCCAGTTCTGCGGGGCTCGCCGTTTGAGTTGTTTTGGGGCAGCTGGAGTCGAGGCCGGCCGGCCGCACCCGACCAACCTCGTAATCGCTGAAAACGTCTTTTCCCTGCGCGGTTACCTGCGATTCGCCGGGGAAACGGTTTCCGCGCTTTCTATTTTATTTCGAGTGGTCAGCGGCGGCGGCTGGTTTAACGTCGCTTTCGCCGCCACCGCTCCGGCCGCCGGCGACGACCTGCGGTCTGGCCGTCCGCCGCTGGCTGACGGGCGGCGCCGCGGGGGCCGGGCGCGCTCCCTTCCACTCCCACGCCGTATCTCCGCCCCATCGGACGGCCGACGTCTCACTCGGCCCATTCATTCGACCGAGGCCGGGGGGCCGCCGCCGCACAAACACGCCACCGTCGGCAGCGCGCCGCGGCCGTGCTGGCGCCCGCCCGGCCGGCCGTCTCCCCGCCGCACGTCCCGCGCCGGCTGTACGGGCGTCTTCACTCGGTCAGCCAGCCGCCGGCGCTGTAATCGGCCGCGGCGGCGACCGCGGCTGGCACAATCATGAAAGTGGCCCGAGCCTGGCGGCGGCCGCGTCGCAACACGTGTCACCGGACCGGCCGGACGCCGACCAGGCGCTTACGAAAAGCGTTAACCCGCGACACCGTCTTCGCCACTCTCTGGCCCACCAGGTAGCTGGACCCTCGGATGGGCCGATCTGGGACTGACGCTGATGTCTCTAGAGAAACGCTTGTAATCCCTGCGTTGAATTTTCCGCATCTTGGGTTGCGACAGCCAAGTGATCGAACTGCCTTCACTCGCTGTGAGAACGGGCTGCAGCGTCTGACTGTGTCCGTCCCAGCTCTGCACGTGACGTATAACCGGTGTCTGCCTGACCTGCGTCTGTCTGTTCGGTGTCCCTCTGACCAATGTCTGTGTCGCTTGTGTCTGCTGGGCGTCTCTCTGACCTGTGTCTGTCTGTTGGGTATCTCTATGACCTTTGCCTGTCTGTTCGGTGTCTCCCTGACTTGTGTCTGTCTGTTTGGTGTATCTCTGACCTGTGCCTGTCTCGCCTGCGTCTGTCTGTTCGGTGTCTCTCTGACCTGTGTCTGTCTGTTGGTTGTCTGTCTCGCCTGTGTCTGTCTGTTCGGTGTCCCTCTGACCAGTGTCTGTGTCGCTTGTGTCTGTTCGGTGCCCTTCTGACCGGTGTCGCTTGTGTCGCTGTGTCGCTTGTGTCTGCTGGGTGTCTCTCTGACCTGTGTCCGTCTGTTGTGTACCTATATGACCTTTGCTTGTCTGTTCGGTGTCTCCCTGACTTGTGTGTCTGTTCGGTGTCTCTCTGACCGGTGTCTGCCTCACCTGTGTTTGCCTGTTCGGTGCCTCTCTGACCTGTGTCTGTCTGTTGGTTGTCTGTCTCGCCTGTGTCTGTCTGTTCGGCGTCTCTCTGACCTGTGCCTGTCCCGCCTGTGTGCGCAGCGCATGAAGAGTTTGGTGCGGAAGCGCTCCGCGCCCGCCGCCCGCCTGCAAAGGGCGCTGTCTGCCAAGTCGCTGCGGCCGCCCTCATCCGAGCGCTCACCGTCGGCCGAGGACGGCGGCGACACGATGCCGCCTCCGGATGTGCCCGACAGCGCGCCCAAGCGCCAGTTCGTCATGGAGACGGCCGTCCAGTTCACCGTGGTGAGTACTGCGACTGGCGGGGTAGTGGGTCCGAGGGGCGGGAGAGGGGGCTCAGATTGCAGGGCTGAAGGGTGGATGGCGTCGCGTTGAAGGCGGCGAGACACACGGGAGGGGAGTGGGGGGGGGGGGGGCGGGGAGAGAGAGAGAGAGAGAGAGAGAGAGAGAGAGAGAGAGAGAGAGAGAGAGAGAGAGAGAGAGAGAGAGAGAGAGAACGGCGCAGCCGTCTGGTCACTCGTCCCGTTCCGGTTTGAACGTCTGGTTTGGAATCGGCGGCTGAACCGTTTGGCGGAAGCCGCCGGCAGAAGTGAGAGCGGTGACCACAAATCAGCGGATCTTACGCGCATGCCAGCCGAAAAACGGGATTCTGTTTCCAGCGCGCTGTCGTAACAAGCTCCAGCTATCTCGTGTGGCCATCACGACGTCGCCGGTCGCACGTCAGCGCCCCGTTGAGCGTCAGACGTCGCGAGGTCGACCCGGACGGCGGCGTCGCGCCGGTCGGGCCGGCCGCCGCCGCCGCCGGCCCGCGTCGCCGCGCTGCGGCCGCACGTCGGCGCGGCACGTAGTCGGCCAGCGGGCCGCGACACACGGCGACGTTTTTGCGCCGCGGACCTGTTTGCGCCGCGCCGGGCCGGCCGGTCGCTGTTGTTACGCTGCCGGCCGGCACACTCGGCCGGATCTGGTGCTCGGTTCGTCCCTGCTCTGCGGCCGTGGACCGGCGAGCGCGTCTGACCGATCTCCGCTGATGGCCGACGAGCACATCACGCGTCGCCGTGGCGGCTGGCTCCGTGTTGACCGGTCGGCGTCTGTCTCTGCCGTGACCTGTCTGCCGGGCGGTGGGTCAGACCACCACTCTCGGCAGCGGCGTGCGGTCGTCAACGGCCCCCGGCGGCACGGCGGCGTCGGGCGCGAGCGGCCCGTCTCGGCGGGCGTGTCGCCACATTTAGCCAGCTCAGTGGAGCGTCCGGCGCCGGTACAGCGGCGGCGACAGCGGCTGAATGGTGGCGGTGACACACTTCGCAGCCGAAATGGAACCTTCTTAAAGCTGCGTTATTGGCTGCCGCCGGCATGGCTTCCGACTTCTTTGGGCTCGCATGACCGAAACAAGTGCTTTCTCTATGCGTCCGCTGTCCTATTTGCTTTGCCCTGTCGCACGTACGGACGTTTTGTCTGTCTATGATTACATGCATTAAGCTGTCTTTCATTTTTAGAGAACACGCTAGTGCCTATTGAAGGCAGTCGTTCGTAGTGTGAAACCTGAGCGATTGCTTTTAATTTAACTCTAATCTTCGAACCCATAATATTTGTAATTTATCAATGTCGTTGTGAACAACACGAGACACTTGTCCAACTGCGGCCACTTAATCTCCTCTTTCGAAACCTGTCTCGTTCGTCGGTCTCGCAATGTTGTGATGCCTTCAACAGCTTGCATTGTGCTCCAAATGGGCACCGGTGCGTGAAATATCGTCGGCAGTATTGTTTTTGCCGTCGTTTGCCGGGCCGGCATTCAAAAACCGCACCCGATATTAAGGAGCGCTGGGACCGGCAAAAACGGTCTCGGCTCGTGCAGGCGCTGGCCGGCGGCGTGTCCGGCGGCACCGGCGCCGGCCGCCGTCTCGTTACCGCACGGGCTGAGGCGGGGCCGAGTGCGGCGGCGTCAGCGGCGTCAGCGGCGTCGGCCGACCCCGGACGCTGTGTGAGCCGGACGCGCCTGCTGACGCTGACGGGAGGCGTCGCCGACCAGCCGGCAGGGGTGTGTGGCGCGCGGCCAACCGCGTGGGACGCGTCATCCATCAGCCGCCGGACGGGAACACACACTCCCGCGCGTCCAGCCCGATCGTGCCGCCGCGTAAAAAGACTTTTGTACCCCGAACCGGCGGGGAGCGACGCCTGGCCGTCCGCTGGTTATGTATGCGCCCAAGTGCACCGTGTCGGACTTTTTCCGAGATTTTTGACTCAATAGCGCCAAGTTCAACGGCCGCCTCGAGCGGCAGGACGGCAGATGCCGTGAGTGGGCTCCCAGCTGCCTGCGGCGCGCTTCGGTCCGGCTCCTCCACAGCTCTCGTCCGACTGCGGGCCGACCGGTACGCCTATCCCGGCACCCGGTACACGTCGTCCAGTGCCTCACATCCGAAAGCTGCCCGAGGTGACTCGCGCAGCGTTCGCCGAACGCGCTGAGGCGCCGCCAGCCGGGCGGCCGTGCCTGACTCACGCCGCGCTTCCGGCGGCGGGGCGGCGGCTGACCCGCGCCGCCCGGCCCGTGACCCGACACCGGCCGAGCCGAGCCGGCGCCGCCGACACCTGACGCCGGCGCGGCGCCTAGCTACGGCCGTTTTTACCGCGGTGCGTCGGGTCCGGCCGGCCGTAAACGGGGGACGTTCATGGCCGACGCGGAGAGGGTCGGTGCGCAGATGGCCGCCGCCCGAGATGGCCGCTTCTGATATTGGAACTGGGTCTCGGGCGTCCTCCAGACGCTGCGTCCGCGGCGCATGGTGCGGCCCACGGCCGCTGGGCACGGCGTGTTTGCTCATGAATATGCTTGACGGCTGAACTCTGTCCAACCTCGACGGGGTCACGACTCGGTGTGGTCGCACGCGCTCAGAAAGTTGAACGCGTCGGCAGGCTAAGGATATGTAGTACTGCATCCCATGGAGATGCTGCTCCGCCCGTTCAACCGACAGTTATGATAGCGTACCTGTCATCGATTTTCTTTTGGCAGCGCTAGCACTTGTTCTCTGAACTGCTACCTTGGTGATCCGGTAGCGTTAGGAAATCGTTGCTGCGCGACTGCATATTGGCCTCATCACAAAGTTGACACGGTCAGACAGGGTGCGCTCACCGCCGCCCGGAGGTACCGGTCCCCGCTACCTGGATGGCCAGGGTGACGGTCCCCTAGATGCGCTACCTGCGCCCCTTGGCTCCGACCCGAACAGTGTCCGACCTCTGCTTTAGCTGGGGGTGGGGGGCTTGCGGCGCCACGGCAGGAGCGTGCCGGGTCACACCGTCGGCTGAACGGACGCCACCAGACCTGCGGCCTCAACGTCGGCGGCGGCGGCGGCGGCGGCGGCGGCGCCACTCGGAAGCGCGACGGCCGGCCGCGCCGCGCAGCACGGTATCCGCCCATCGTGGCCGAGTTCATTGACTGCCCCCGGTCTGGCCATGCTAATTCCGCGTCGAAGATAGATGAGCGGCCCGACGGCGGGCGGCGGCGCGACACCTGTCACTGCGCATGCGCCGATGTGGCGAAGAGGGGCCGCTGGGTCGGCATACCATCGAGCGGCCGCGGCCGGCGTCCAGGGTGTGCCGCTGCCGCGTGCCGTGTGCGCAGGGCTCGCCGCCGCCCAGCGACGCTGATGTCACGGGCGGCAAGGTCGCGAGGCCAGGCCTCGCCTCCTGTCGGCCCCGCGCGTCCCGGCGGCCGACGAAGGCGCGTCAGGTGCCGGCGACAGAATCTGGAGCGGTATGCGTTAATGCACAGAATGGACGCTAAGTAGCCAGACGCCTAAGAGGCTGAGTGGCCGTCCCAGATGCCGGTCAGGTCGGACGGGGGCCGCAAACATCTGCCGGCGACGGACTCTGGCATGTCCGGCCGGCTCCTGCTAACCGGGTGTGACGAGGCGACCGCTATCCATGCAACCGGGTGTGCACCGTTTTTGGTATACGTCGCCCCTCGCGACTTCGCAGCCATTGCAACCCCGCCGGCTGTGGCCTCTGTGGCGATCAGCGTCCGTTGTCGCCGCTGACTGACGGTCGGCAGTTCTGATGTCCAGCCTCAGCCTCAGCCTGACGTCAGGGCAGAGCACCGGTCCAACAGGCGGCGGTTGGTGCAGGCTGGGCGCCTCTCATGGCCCGAGCTGCCTCCTCTCACCCCAGCTCGGCCGTTTTTCTCCGGCGATGGCCGGTTAGGCCTTGTCGGACGGCCTTAAGCGGCCGTTGGGCTTCGCGAGATGAGGTGCACCGCCAAGCCGGCAGCCGAGGCCCGGGTCGCCGAGGCCGGGCGGCTGGCGGGCTGGCACCAGGCCTCGGCCAGTGTCGGACGGGTCAGGTGCATTCGCCGCGCGCACAGGAGGGGTCCTCCGGCCGTGACGGGCTCGATTCGCGCATCCCATGCTCCGCCGAGTGCCGGGCTTCTCGTCAAGGACAAAAACCCCGCAGCCCAGCAAAACCGGCCGAGTGTCGGCGGGAAAAAGGCGGGCCTACGCAAAAAGCGCGCGCCACTCTCCACCGCAAGGTCAAGAGTTCACGGCGCGGCCGGCGGCGCAGAGCGGCGCGCGGGAAGGTGCGACACGCGCCGGGCCGTCCTGGCCCGTCGCCCCTCTGTGACCGTCGCGCCTCAGCCGCGCGGCGAGCTGCCGCGGCCGGCTCCAGAGTTGGCACGGTCGCAGCAAGCCGCTGGGCTCGAGCAGCTGGACGTGTTTCTGTGCCGGGCGGGCGCCGGGGACAGGCACCAGTGGGCCGGACGGGCCGTGTCCTTGGTGCTGTCGTATGGGGACGCGGCCGCCGGGGCCCGGCCGGCTATCTATGCACGGTGTCGCCACGGCGTGCTTATCACGTCCGTAACCAGCCGAGCGCGGCTGATGGCATCGGCGGCCATACGGGTCGGCCGGCCGGCGCCCGCCTTTTGTGGCAGTTCATGTCAGCCGGCGACGGCGCAGGGCTCGGTGCTTTGATGGATCGGCGCCGCTGGCCTGTCGGGAGCGCCGGGCGCCGTCGCCTCGGCCAACGCGCCGGCCGCCGCTCGGAGTCGCCCCGCTGACGCGCTGTCCATCTCGCCGCCGCCGCCGCCGCCGCCGCCGCTGCCCATCTCGCCGCCGCCGCCGCCGCCGCCGCCGCTGGCCAGCGCCGCGCCGACATGCTGGACAGGAGCGGCTCCTTGATCGGGCCCGCAGCGCGCCCCGACGAGCCGGTCGCTCGTAAATCAACGGAGCGCTGCCGACCGACCGCGGCGGGGCGGCAGTCGCATTCCACGTGCACGTTCAACACCGTCTGAGGTCGGGAGGCACCACGCAGCGAACGTTTGAACCAAGCTCGATTTAAAAGCACCGTAAGGCTTATCAACAGGGCCCTGTTGAATCCCATGGGCGTCGGTGTCGGACCGATTCGGCGTGGACAGCAGACAATGGGTGGTCTGAGCGGCGGGATGGCGATGGGAGGGCGGGCCTCATGCATGGCCCCCCGGCGGCACCCAAACAATGGATGATGGACGGCCAGCAGCGGGAGGCCTGCCGAACGCATGGCTACCCCAGCACCCAGAACAATAGCTTTGTCTCTGAGCCCGGCCACTGTTCTGTGCATCGGCGGACCACGTGCAGTGGCGCGGCCGATGCCTCCTCTGCAGCGGACGTGTCATGAGTGCTGAGGTGGCTGGCGCATTGAGCCGCATCTCCTCGTTGCAGGGTCTTCAGTCGCAGGACCGCCACCTCTTCCTCTTCTCGGATATGCTGCTGGTGGCCAAGGCGCGCTCGGGCGGCAACTTCAAGCTGAAGGACAAGGTGCGGCTGTCGGAAATGTGGCTGGCCAGCTGCCTGGACGAGGTTACCGAGGTCACCAAGGATCCCAACACATCATTCGTCATGGGCTGGCCGACCACCAACGTGGTTGCCACCTTCAGGTCAGTCACGATCGCGGTAATTTGCCGCTCCTGTCCCCGCAGCCGTTCCTGTGATCTGGAGGTATTGTATCCTTGCTGGGTTCGTCCTCGTCACCCTCGGGTATTCATGTGACCGCACCGATTTTGTCAACGCAAGTCACATCTCTGATGGAGTCGGTCTGGTCGCGAGCACCGCTGAAGGATGCAAATGGAGCGCCGCGCCGGCCGGTCGTCGCCCGCCGCCCGCCGCCCGCCGCCGGCCGCCCGGCCAAATTGTCCGAAATTGTCGAATGGAAAGCGTGTCGGCTGCGGCTGCGGCTGACTCCCAGGGCGAGCGCGAGCTGATCACCTGAGGCGCCCACCGCCCCGGTGAGGCACGGGAGCTGGACCGGCGCCAGGGGCCAGTGAGTGATGGACCGCCGGCTGGCGAGGGACGGTGCTGGACCGCTGGCTGGGGTCGGACCGCCGAGTGGCGACGCGAGGCCACCGATGCTGCCGGTCGATGCCGTTGTCAATGCAGATCAGCCGTCCGTCTGGGCGGTTTGAATGGCCGGCCGGCGGTGGCGGCGGCTCGGCTGGTTCCGTCGCCAGACCCAGGTGACCCGGGCCAACATCAGCCCGGCGCCCGTGGCTGCTGGCGATGCAGCGGGGAGCGGCGGCAGTGGGGCCGCTCCGGCGGCTGCCGGTGCCATCTGCCGCCCAACGGCTGTCGTCGTGCTCCTCACACGGCGGCCGTGCTGACGGCGGTGGCCGCCGCCGGACGCCCGGCATTGACGCCGAGGTCCGCACCTGCAACCAGGGTCCCCGCCCCAGCTCAGCCAGCTTAGCTGGCGTTCGATTTATGAACGGGCATCCCTTCGGCGGAGCCGAGCGGGGAATAACATCCAAACGTGTAATTACGAGCCGTTTCAAGTACGTGTGCCACACAGCAGGCCGCTGGTAACATTCGATGGCTCGTGCACTGGTAGTTTGGATCGAATCAGTAAATAAAATTCCCAGATTGTACGCTTCAGAAAATGGATGGGAATACCACACAGGCGCACGTGGAAGAGCCCAGGCTAATGCCAGATGTTGTGATTTATTATCTCACATAACAGGCCAGCCGTGCATTCTTTACAAGGGCTGGTATTATACCTGCCCACTGCAGAAAAAAAATCGTGTTTTGCTGTTCGTGATGCCGGCCGACACTGCATCATTGTCAGCATCGGCGCATGAAAAACTGCGCGTTTGATGTGCGCGGCTCCCAGTGCCGCACGCTAGGCGCTGGACGGGCTTCCGGTGCGGTCGGCCGCCGCCGGCAGCTTCACACGGCGCCGCCATCTGTCACCGGCCAAGGGTCACGCCCGGGTCACCGAGGTCACGAGGTCACTGCTGACGCAATCCGGCCGCCTACTTGTTGACATCGACGGCGGCGCAGTCATACAAACAGATTATCCAGCTGGTGTGAGTGGTGTCTCCAGTGGTGCCCGGGTGCTCCGTACCCGCCGTTTAGGTCGGCTCCCTCGGGACTAGCTCCATCTTCCTGGGCTCCCACGGCCCGGCGCCCTGCCAGAGACCGTCTCGGAGATCACCATAATTTGGTGTTGTTCGCGTCACGGGTCTGCAGAAGACAAGCTAGGAGAGAGAGGGTAGGCGGATTTCTTCGAAGACACGGCGTGCAGTGACGCTCTCGTGAGCCTCATCGCTGCTGCATATCGCGAGCCTGGGCTGCGGGCTGCCAAGTCTCGTGGCCGGGTCCCAAATCGTCGCGGAGTTGTCAGCAGCCTTGGAGTGGATTCGATCGAGCGGGTGCTTCAGGCCACGGCCAGTCCACTGCTCCGGTCAGTCGCACAGCACGGCTGCCAGGAGCGCTGAGTCAGCGGGGCGGCGGCCGCGCGCTGGGGCGTCTCCCCTAGGCTGCGGTGGCGTGGGAGACGGGCGACAGCCAGTGATGTCACCGCGCGGCGCTCTCTCGCGGCCGGGTCGGCCCTCGCGTCCGGGCTGAGTCGCGGCCGACCTCGGTCGGAGCATTCTCTCGACCGCGGCGGTGCTGACAACTCCGGGGGCCTGCAGTGCCGCTGCGTGTCGATCGGCATCATCAGCCGGCTCGACTTCCGCTCGACCGCCGGCGAACTGGAGGCGCCCTGGGAAGAGCCGCCCGCGCGGCTGCGCCGGCTTCTCGGCTCGGGTTGGCGCGCCTGTATCGACGCTGCACGCCGGCGGGCGTCGGCGGCGACCCTGGCAGCGGCGGCCGGCCGATCACCGGCCCGGAGAAAGCCATTATCGGCCGGCCGCCGCACGATCCGTCAGATTAGCCGTGTTTATTGGCTTATTTTCCCGCCCGCTTACGGGTCCGCCGCGACCGAGGGCACTTGTGGACCTCTCCCGCGGTGGCATCGGGCGCCGTGTAATTCTCATTTTCCGCCGCCGCCTGCAATTACGGCCATCTGGCGGGTCCAAAGGCAGTCACCAGAGGTACGACCAGCAGGGCCGCGCGGCCGCCCCGCTGCCGATAGCGAAAGGCGGCCGGCGTCGGCTAACGCCGCCCGCCGCCGGCGGCTCACCCCCGTGGGAGAGCGGCGTCGGCCCGCCCTCCGTTTGTAATCGGGCTGATTTCCTGACAAGTGGCCGAGTGAAACGCCGTCCCGACCGCGCGCGTCGCCGACCAGCTTGAACAAACAGGCGCCGCGTTCCCACACGCTGGCCAGAAATGAAAGCCGGCGCGGCGGCCTGCGGTGACGTCACGCCCCCCGTGCGCTGGGCGGGGTCGGGCATGCGTGTGTGCGTGCGTGCGCGCCCTCCGGAGCGGCCCGCTCCCAGGCCTTCTCCTGGCGAGTTGCAGTGTTCAGCCGCAGCTCCGCCGGGGCGACCGCTCTCCGAGTGAGGCTCGCGCGCGCTCGACCGCCCTGGGCACCGTCACTATCGATTACGTCACTGGAGCTGTTGCAGAGCGCTCGCAGCCGCCGACATCGCTTACGTCACGATGCGCACTGGACGGCCAATTATGTCCGATGAAATTTCGGCGTTTCCTCCGAGGCTAACTCGACGGACACTTTCTCCCCTCTGCGCCCGGCTGGCTGGTCTAATCATGACGGGACCCGGTCGGCCCGCCACAACACCCGCACCGCGCCGGCATTACGGCGGCCTCGAAAATTATTGACCCGCGTATCGTTAGGCGAAATAAACCTTGGGCTTAATTGGAGGGGAAAATAATGGTTCCATTGAAATATCTGGGTTCGATGGGTTATTTATTCCCGGCTCTTTTGCCAATTATGCGTCCGGCCAGTCGAGCGTGGGCTACCTACGACCTCTCGACTGTCAGGCCTCATCAGCGGTAATGGCCAGCATCCCGAGTCGAGCCGCGCGTCCGCCGCGGCTGGTGTGCCGAGGCCGGCGGCGGCCCACCGTATGTTTGTGCAGCGGCACGCCGGCCGCGCCGGCCGGTGGGGAGCGTCGCCGGCCGGCCGGCCCGGCGGCGCCGCCTCGCCCTGACGGCTGGACGGGCCGGTGTCCCCGCCGACCGGCGCGGGTCGCCACCCCCTCATTACGCGCCGGCCCGGGACGGACGGGCTCCGGCGCTCGCCGGCCAGAGGCCCTGGTCACCGCCGCTCCGGACACGTAGCGAAGGGTTGCGCGACAGCAGAACAGCCGGCGGCGAAGCGGTCCGTGATCTCGCCGGCAGTCAGTGATCAACGGTCGGCGCGGCCTCGCCGGTGTCACCTTGCTGCCGCGTCCCTCAGAGGGTCGGTTGCGGCCGGCCGCTGCCCCGGCCGACCGTTGGCCATTCGAATCTTGCCTTGGAAGCCGCTGCCGGCCGGCAGCTGTGCTGACGGGCGCGGCTGATGGATCTGGCCGGCGGCCTGTGGCTCCTGCGTCGGCCGATCGCCGGGTTCTCGTCGAGTTCTCGCCGCACCCTTGACCGTAACCGTGCCGAGCTCAGCCGTGCCAGCGGTGCCGCGCACATCTCCCCGCCGTGGACACGACGGGCCCCCAGGTAGCGTCGCGCCGGGGACAGCGCCGCCATCACGTCAGCGGCGCCGCTGCAGCCCGATCACCCGTTGTTTATCGCGCGTCAGAGAGGAGAGTCTATGCAGATGTGCTGTGTGTCGACGCCTCGCCTGAGTCGTTCGTCAGCGCTATTGACGGCCGGCCGGCGTCTCGCGAGTGTGCAGGGCGTCGTCGTTTTCCCGAGCGTTGATTGGCCACGCTGCGTCCTCCCGAGCGGTGATTGGCCACGCTGCCGTCATCCCGAGCTGTGATTGGTCACGCTGACGGATGTGTCTGCTCGTTGCAGCTGCCCGTCAACGCGTGATCTGTGGTACAACAAGCTGAACCAGATGATCACGGACGAGCGTGAGAACGAGGCCAAGGCGATCAACATCCAAGTGGTCTACTACGACCAGGTCAACAATATCGACTTTGTGAGTGCGCATCGCCTGGTGTCGGGTGCCGCAAATCGTGGTCCACGGCGTGGCGTTACTGAAGTGGCTCGACGTCGCAGTCTTGGTGATAGCTTCGCGGTGCGTTTGTGTTGCCATCGCTGGTAATCCTCATTCAGTGCAGACGACACCAGATGTATGTAACCAAGCACCCCTGATATGCGCTAACGAGGACGACATGGCTACTGCACGCGCTCACATGTTCTGTTGTCCGGTTGCTGCGGCGCTTGTCGCCCTCTGCGATGCGCCGTCACGGCGCGTGTGACACCTTGCACCCTGCCTTGCCAGTGTAAGACGCTGAGCGTAGGCTCCTCGCTGGCGGCGCGCGACTGCGTGCGCTCCTCGCTCACCAACCTGGAGATGACGGGCGCCAGCGCGGCCGACTACCGGCTCTGGGTGCGCACCGGACTCGAGGACGCGCCCTACCCGCTCATCGGCCACGAGCTGCCGTTCGCCATCAAGATGAACTTTGTGCGCGAGTTCCTTTCGGAGGACGGAGTCGAGATGGACCACTGCAACAACATCTACAACACCGACCCCAGCCTCAAGTGCCAGTTCATCTTGCGGTGAGTGCAGTTGAGAGGTGGACGTTGTGACCGTGGTCAGGCGGCCGGCGGCGGTCCCAGACCCCAGTCGTGGTCAGGCGACCGGCGACGGTCCTAGACCCCAGCCGTGGTCTGGCGACCGGCGACGGTCCTAGACCCCGTCCGTGGTCTGGCGACCGGCGGCGGTCCTAGACCCCGTCCGTGGTCAGGCGACCGGCGGCGGTCCTAGACCCCGTCCGTAGTCAGGCGACCGGCGGCGGTCCTAGACCCCAGCCGTGGTGTGGCGACCGGCGACGGTCCTAGACCCTGTCCGTGGTCAGGCGGCCGGCGGCGGTCCCAGACCCCGTCCGTGGTCTGGCGACCGGCGACGGTCCCAGACCCCAGCCGTGGTCTGGCGACCGGCGACGGTCCTAGACCCCGTCCGTGGTCAGGCGGCCGGCTGCGGCCCCGGAGCCGCGCGGGCCGCCGGGGTGTGTCACACTCCAGTGATTGGGAGGGGGCATGTCTCCGGCGGCTGGCGACCGTCCAGCGCCGTTGCGCCGGCCATCGGCGGCCGAGCAGCGGCGACGGGATCTCAGCAGCGATGGGATCTCAGCAGCGATGGGTTCTCAGCAGCGACCGGGTCGCTGAGGGCGGCGCGCGCACCGCGCCTGACGCGACGCCTCCTCTCGTTCCACAGCCATGCCCGCAAGAACTGCCTGACGCCGTCACCCGACGCCGCCAAGAAGAAGAAGGCGCTGAAGAAGTCGCCGATCCGCATCCACAAGGTGTTCCGGCGCACCAACAGCAAGTCGGACAGCATCGACAGCGCCATCAGCACGTGCAGCTCGGGTCTGCTGTTCGGCCAGCCCCTGGCCCGGCTCTGCGAGAACGAGGCCATGCCCAAGCCTATCATGGTGAGGAGCCCCGACGGTGCCCAGGGCCGGCGTACCGTAGTTGACCAGGCGATTCTAAATGTCGAGCATGCCTTTCACTTGGGATGCCTTGCTCAGGTTATCAGGTTCAGAGTGAATTCTGGGATTGGCGTTGGCTTAGACGATTTGATCTGAATGCTATGCACTTTTGCGCTAGGCATTCAACTATGGTATTGGTGTAACCTGGTGTTTGAACTACTGTCGTGTTTTCCGTGCATGTCGGATATATTTTGACCACCTCTGTTACCCAAGTGCTGACCTATTCTGGAGGCTGGCCCATGCGGGACAAACCCTGACCGCACAGTCGCACTTCCGTACACCTGTGCGGCGCTTGATGTGAACGAGACCCGGTGTTCCGTGTTACAGGACATACTCGTTCAGCTGTTCATGAAGGGACCGTTCACGGTCGGCATTTTCCGCAAGTCCGCCAACGCCCGTGTCGTGAAGGAAATGCGGGAAAAACTGGACAGCGAGGTTGACGTGAGTACCGGCCGACCATTGTTTTTGCGCGAACAACGGGACGGTGCAGGGCTGATGGCGCTGCTCGCTGCCTGCGCCGCCGACGAGCACTGGCCCACCGGGCGCGCCTGTCCCACAAAGGGCTAGACGATATTACAGCCCGCCTGTGCACTGTCTGGGGCCGCCTCGCACCGCCACCGCCGTGCATCGTTACACGCTGGGGCCCAGAGAGTTCTGCACGGTCCTCAGCACGGCCGTCTGTCCTGCAGGTGAACATGGAGTCCGTCAACATCTACGTGCTGGCGGCGCTGCTGAAGGACTTTGTGCGCTCGCTGCCCGATGCGCTGCTCGGCTCCGACCTGTACGACGAGTGGCGGGAGGTGCCCGAGATCGAGAACGAGCAGGAGAAGATCGTCCGGGTCAGAGAGTAAGTCACTCCACGGCCGTTCTTGCGGGCACCGACACATGTTGACAGCTTAGCATCCTCAAGTTCAATAGCCAGGGTAGGATATGATGGTTTTCTTTCTGTCCCCTTCTCTGATCTCACATGACGTGGTGGGTCGTGTGATCGGACGACGCGCGGTGTCGTGCGCATTATCGGACTTTGCCGCCCAAGCTCGCGTCTGTTTCCATGCCTGTCTGTGTGCTCCTGCTCGGCAGTGGCGGCCGACTGAGGCCCGTGTGCTACCGTCGGCAGTGGCGGCCGACTGAGGCCCGTGTGCTACCGTCGGCGGTAGCGGCCGACTGAGGCCCGTGTGCTACCGTCGGCGGTGGCGGCCGACTGAGGCCCGTGTGCTACCGTCAGCGGTAGCGGCCGACTGAGGCCCGTGTGCTACCGTCAGCGGTAGCGGCCGACTGAGGCCCGTGTGCTACCGTCGGCAGTGGCGGCCGGCTGAGGCTTGTGTGCTACCGTCGGCAGTGGCGGCCGACGGGCCCGTGTGCCGTGCGTGACGCCAGTGCGCTGTCCACAGACTGTGCGCCCGCCTGCCGCCGGCCAACGTCAACCTGCTCAGTCACCTTCTGTGCGTGCTGCACCACATCGCACGGCGCAGCCACCACAACCTCATGTCGGCGGCCAACGTGGCCGTGTGCGTGGGCCCCTCGCTGCTGGCGCCGGCGAACCCGGCCCAGGTGCTCACCTCGGACAATGCCAAGCTGCTGCCCAGCGTGGTGGAGTTTCTCATCGACAAGTGCAGCGCCATCTTCGGTCCCCAGTGTCTGACGCAGTTCGGGCCGCCGCCGGAGCGCGAGGTCCGCACGGACAGCGGCGCCGAGGAGTCGGACAGCCTACACAGCTGTGAGTGGCGGCCAAGTTATGGGGTGCCCAGCTTCTCTGGCATATTATTGGATAAGGCTTTGTGTGATCATCGGATGTGTTTGTTTTTTGCCTGCGAATGTGTAGTTCTGAAACTGCTCGTTCTGCGAAACCGAAATAGTTTTATGTTGCTGCATGCCATGGGTTTTCATCTCTTTTTTTGCGAAACGTGGCATTCCCTTTTTATAAAATGTGAAGCGTGTATGAAACTTCGGTTGTGTATTGTGTCACAGATTTTCTGACATCACTCGTGTGTGCCGCGCCGCGCCGTGTGCCTGACTCGGCCTGTCCGTCCCGCAGCGGGCGGCGGTGTGCGCCGGGACGACTCGTCCATCGACAGTCTGGAGCGCGAGCTGCTCGGCGAGAACGAGCCGCTGCCGCGCAAGGACAAGATGTCGGTGACGAACCTGAGCCGCGACTCGGGCCTCACGCTCTCCGACACGCAGCTGTACGCGCCCGACGACGAGGAGTCGGAGAGCACCTCGTCCGGCCACAGCGGCGGGAAGAGCGTCTACTCGAGCGGGCGCGGCTCGGACGCCGGCTACCGGCACTACCCGGCGCCGGCCAACCCCAGCGCCATCTACGCGGCTGTCTGCCGCCGCCAGCTGGCGCCGACTCACTCGTCGCCGGCGGCCGCCGAGTACGGCCGCGCCTACAGCCCGGCCGAGGGCGTGTACGCGCGGCCACCGGTCCGTCACACCAATTCGCACTTCAAGCGGCAGGACTGGACGCGCCAGCACCACCCGCTGCGCCGCACCGGCCGGCCGGCTACCGAAGGTCGCGCGCCGATGCGGCGCAGCGCCTCCGAGGAGAGCCTGCTCAACAGCTACGGCGCGTTCGGCCGCGGCTCGCCGGCGCCGCGACGCGCCAGCCCGGCGGCGCCGGCGGCGCGCGGCAGCCTCTCGCCGCCAATGGTGCGCTCCAAGTCGGCGCATCACATCGAGGAGCGGCGCGAGGCGGGCCCGGCGCCCGCGGCGCACGCGCCGGCCGAGCCGCCGCGGGACTGGCAGCGCAGCCGCTCGACGCCTCACATCGACGAGGTGGACCGCTCGTACGACTCGTCGACGCTCTCGGACGACGACTCGACGCCGCACGTGTCGCGCTCCAACTCGCGTAGCAAGGACTGCGCGCTGGCCAACGACCTCTGGGAGCGCACGTATGGCACGCTGGACAGTCGCTCGGACAGCGGTTCGCACGCGTCGCGCCACAGCAGCTTCAAGTCGTCGCGCACGGGCAGCTTCAGCACGGTGCGCAGCACGGGCACCGTGCGCTCGCTGGAGACTGGCACGCCGCCCAGCTACGACGTGGCGCTCAGCCGACGCCAGTGGTACCAGAAGTCGCCGGGTGGTAGCGGGGTGGGCGGTGCAGCTCGCGCTCCGGCGCACGGCGTGCCCGAGCAGGTCATCCGCGAGCAGACGATCCTCTCCAGCCGCGCCAAGCAGCTGTACGAGGAGAGCCTGCGCATCTACGCGCAGCAGACGGCCGGGCCAGACATGGTGCACGCGTCGCCGGTGCGCGCTGTGGCGGCCGAGGATGCGCCACCGCCGCCGCCGCCGCTGCCGCCCAAGACCGAGGCGCCGCCGCTGCCGCCCAAGCAGAAGACGCCCCTCAAGCGTGTGAGCGGGCCGGCGCCTGGCGGCGGACGCCTCAAGCAGCTGCCGCCGGTGCACGTGAACGTGTCGGAGTCGGCGCCGCGGCGGCCGGCCGGTGCCGAGCAGCCGCCGGCGCTGCCACCCAAGGAGCGCACCGTCATCCAGATTGGCGCCGAGCCGCCGCCGGCGCGGCCGCAGCGACCAAAGCGCAAGGTGTCGAAGCGCGAGGTGGAGACGCAGACGGAGACGGAGGAGGGCGGCGAGGAGGCGTGGCCGGCGCGGCCGCCGCACGTCACGCTGGTGGAGATCGAGACGCCGGCGGCCGGCGGCGTTCCGGCGCCGGTGGGACCGAGCGAGCGGCGCGGCCGCAACCGGCGCCGCGACCGGCAGGCGCTGCGGTCGCGCTCTCAGCCGTCGGCCGAGCCGGACACGGAGCCGGAGACGGAGCTCGAGTGGGCGCCGGCGCCGGCCGAGCAGGCGGCCGAGCTGCGCGGCGAGATCAACTGGTCGGTGTCGCGGCTGCGCGCCATGTTCAGCGCCGACGGCCAGCCGCCGCCGTACCGGCACCCGCCGCTGCACCGGGCCGGCGCGCCGGCGCCCGGCTCGCCGGGCGAGGTGTATGCACAGCTGCCGGCGCCGCGGCCGGCGCCCGCCGGGCACAGACGCTCAGACTCGGCCGGCAGCTCCAACTACGGCGAGGAGTCGTACGTGTGACGCCGCAGCGCCGCGCGCGCGCACCCACCCCACGAATCTAAGTCAGCCGCGAGTGCGTGGTGTCGGCCGCCCTCCCCCCCCCCCCTCCCCGTGCCCGCATCATCATGCCCTACCTCACCGAGTGACTGCTGCCGCGCCGCACAATCAAACCGCGTGTACATAGTTGCGTATGAATACTCTCCCATTCCATTAATGGTGCTCAAACTGGAGTGGGGCTAGGCCCTGCCCGCAGACGCGGCCCCGGTCGACAGTATTTCGCACTGGGATCTCGCGCGAGGGAAGCCCACTGGTGTATACAGAGCAATATATTTAGACTGATATGTGTGAAATGTTATGCGACAAACCTAGATTAGAATGGTGCGCCCTTTGTGTGGGCGCATCCGCTACTATGCCCATTGAAGTTAATATGTTATTTTAGGTATAACTTGTTTGCATGATTGTGTCACACGATTACAATACAGAATGAGACGGTGGAGTTGTTTCACCACTGACTTCTGGCATGACCGCATCGGGCGCCGAACCATGCCTGGGGGGCGTGCTAGCCTAAAAGCTGCCTGCGTATGTATAAATCGTGCTTCAAAGAAATTCGAAGCCTCCAACAATTGCGAACATTGCCTCGCTTCGTGGCAATTTGGGCTGTCTGATATCTGACGCAGCCATATGACCAGCGTAGTCGGTGTGACCCAAAGCCCAAATCATCACTATGATGTTTGGCGCAATTAGAGTGGGCTACCATCTAATCACATTTATTAACCATTTCCGACGTCGTGGTTCAGAAGACCATGAGGTTTGACCTGGCGCGTTCTACCAACGCTGTAAACTGGGCGGAGACTGAAAAACGGCCCGACCGTTATCTGAGTGTGCTGCTCTTATT